CCATGCGCTCCTGGCAATCCGTGCACCGACGGAGTGCACCTCTGCTCACCTCTGCAGCAACGACCGGCGGGCCTCCCTGCCTCCCCACACCACTGTCTGGACACGCCTCTACTCACCCCTGCAGCAACGACCAGCGGTTTCCCTGCCTCCCCACACCACTGTCTGGACACGCCCTGCTCACCCCTGCAGCAACGACAGGCGGCCTCCCTGCCTCCCCACACCACTGTCTGGACACGCCTCTGCTCACCCCTGCAGCAACGACCAGCGGTTTCCCTGCCTCCCCACACCACTGTCTGGACGCGCCTCTGCTCATCTCTGCAGCAACGACCGGCGGCCTCCCTGCCTCCCCCACACCACTGTCTGGACACGCCTCTGCTCACCCCTGCAGCAACGACCAGCGGTTTCCCTGCCTCCCCACACCACTGTGTGGACACGCCTCTACTCACCTCTGCAGCAACGACCGGCGGCCCTCCCTGCCTCCCCACACCACTGTCTGGACACGCCTCTACTCACCCCCTGCAGCAACGACCGGCGGCCTCCCTGCCTCCCCACACCACTGTCTGGACACGCCTCTACTCACCTCTGCAGCAACGACCGGCGGCCTCCCTGCCTCCCCACACCACTGTCTGGACGCGGCCTCCGCTCACCTCTGCAGCAACGACCGGTGGCCTCCCTGCCTCCCCACACCACTGTCTGGATGCGCCTCTGCTCACCTCTGCAGCAACGACCGGCGGCCTCCCTGCCTCCCTACACCGCTCCCCTGGGCACGCCTCTGCTCACCGTTCCCGATCCGACTGGCGGCATCCTTCTGCTCCGCTCGCCACCGCCATGGGGGCAGACCTTGAACGTCTGGACTGGCCCGGGGTGAGGGACCTGCCCGACAGGTGAGGGGGGGGGGGCAGCCCCACCGGACTCGTGTCATCCGCCTGGGCCACAGCTGCGCGACCGAGAGCCGGCCGACGGGGTGGGTGTCCCACTGCACCGAGAGGCGCCGGCGTTCTCGGCCCCGCTGCGCGCCGGCCTGCTCAGCGGATGTCTCTCCCCTGCAGTCAGACCACCACTGTTGCTCTCTGTGATCTCCACTGGGCGCGCCGCTGAGCTCGACCGGGGCCCCACCTGTTTGCCTGTCCGCCTGTCCGCCTGATCAGGGCCCACCTGTCCACCTGTCCACCTGGCCAGGGCCCACCTGTCCGCCTGTTCGCCTGACCAGGGCCCACCTGTCCGCCTGTTTGCCTGACCAGGGTCCACCTGTCCACCTGTCCGCTCGACCTGGGCCCATCTGTCCGCCTGTCCGCCTGACTAGGGCCCCACCTGTCCGCCTATCGGCGCCTGCCCCGTCAGCGCCCCTCCCACATGCCGACCTCCTCCCGAGCGGGGCCCTCTGGCCGGCCAACCCCCCTCCCCCTCCCCAGCGGCCCTGCCCGCTGCCTTGACCGCACGCTGATCTGCACCCCGGGTGACCGGTCCATTAGTGGATCTCCTCGAGGGCCCCTGCGACCGTCCTTGCACCCGCCGCGAGCACTGACCGGCTATGTTTAGCACGGGACAAGATTTGCACGAGGCGCGGCCCTGCCCACAGCACGTGGCGAAACTGCAGGAGTACAGGTGCCGGCTTCTCAGCCTGATACGGATATCGCAATGATTTTTTACAGCACGTGTACACAGCCAGATGATGGTACCGTTTGGGGTCTTTAGAGCCTGTGTATCATTATAGTGATTCCGTAGATCGAGGGATCCCTCGCGCTGGTCCAGAACTTCCTACCTGGTGGCTCTTGGTACCACAGAGCAGCGGCTTGTCAGCAAAGGCGGTGGTTAGGTGAGTTTTGTGACCTCCAAATGACATTCCATAAACGGTGTATGGTATCACGGATGCAGACGGCATTCCTTACGCCAGCCTTTTCAAGATCATCCGCCTAGCCGGAAGAATGTCGCCCAGTTGAGAGCCACCGCAGCGATCTGTCACGACGATAGCCACGCGCGGCGGGTCGGGCGGCCGGTCGGCGGGTCCGACCCGAGCGGCTGGCCGGCGCGACTGTCGGGTCGGCCCTGCACACGACCGCAGGCAGGACTGCGTCGCTCGCCCGTCGCGAGCCGGTCGGTATGCAAGTCAAATGGGCGCCGGCGCGAGTCACTGTCCGGCCCGGCGCCTCTGCCGATGGCCCTCGATAGGGCTCCTGGAGGCGGCAGCCGGGCGCGGCCGGACCGCGCGAGACGTCGCTCCGACCGGGCGCCGCCGCCAGCGGAGGGACTTCACTCCACCGCAGGTCCTGGCGGCGACAGCGGCAGAACGGAAGCTCGACTGTATGAAAGGGATGTTTCTGATTGTCGTTAGGGCGAAGGAGGTGAAAAAGTTCGAGTCCGTTCTCAGCGCACGTTAAGTGTGTCGCATTCTCTTAAGCTCTCTACATAAATGGCGTTAGTTATTCGCTTAGAAAAGAATTGGCTACTGCATGCGCGTACTTGCGGTTGGCTTGGCGGAGGCGGCTTGTGGTCGGCTTGCGGAGGCGGCTTGTGGCCGGCTTGCGGAGACGGCCGTGGCAGGGGATACCCCTCGGAGCCAGGTATGGTGGGAAGGAGGGACTCCCGGCCTTGGTGGCTCTGGTGCGCGCGCGCTTACCGAGGATGGCGGCGTCTGGAGGTTGGTAAGACGTGATGACTTCAGGCATCATCCCGGCTACTGATGGAGGGTTCGTGGCGGAAGGCGTTCGCTCGCCGGCCGGTTCGCTGGGGTGCGGTAGGTAGTACCAACCTGTGCGCACGGGACGTAGAACTCCGTGGGCTCGAGTCGCATAAGAGGCCTTCTGATCTCGTGAGTGATGTGAGGGACGTATCTGCCACGCCAACCGTGTCGTTTGTTCGTCACGCTGTATGCACAGCAGCGGTGTCTGGTCCAGCGCCTATGCCATTATTCCATGAACGGGAAACGTTCGGGCGGCCGGTCAGGTTCGGCAGAACGTCCTGTTTCATTCCAGGCTGAATCCTATGCTCTCAATCTCACGCAGACTGAACCATCGCATGCAGTTGCATCAAAGAGGCAGTAATACAGTATGGACCAGACGCGCCGGGCGTCCACTCCTCACGCTCTCGCGTCCAGCTGCCGGTGTGTTCCCCACCCCCTGTGCCCGTGCCTCGGCCCGTCCCTGACAGGCGTGTGCGGCCCGTCCATGTGCAGTCGTCGGTCGGCATTTCCGCCGCCGCGCCGGCGGCGCCACCTGGCGGCCGGCCGCACCGCCGAGCGTCTGAGCGGTGACTCTGAGGACGTTGGCCGCCTCTTCTCGGCGCCGGCCGAGGCGGTGTTTGCTCAGCGTCCTGTTTGATTGGTGGGTCATGCCTCGCATGCGGCGTGTGGACGCTGCACAGCCACCATGCCACTTCAGTCACGAAGTCTGACTAAGCCGAACAAAAGCGACAATGGCGCCTGACGGGAAATTGCCTGCATCAGAACGTGACGTTGAGATAGCAACATGCTTTGTAGCCCTGACTTTGACTATGCACATCGATAGGTACTGTATCAAGATAATTCAATCACACGCGCGCTCGTTTTGTATAAATTTGAGATTTGGTGTCAAAGATATTAGATACATTACCTTGGTCTGGTTGAAACAGCTGCGGGCTGCACGTTTGTTCTTTTACAAACCAATGTTATGTCGCACGTAACGAACATGCTATGCGCGACGAACAGTAACCCAGTGCGTCCACAGAGTGAGACATTCATATTTGGGTATGCATGGCGCAAATCTTCATTTGTGCGTTCCAACACGCTAGGGTCATTCAGCACTGCTGAATCAGTGCTTGAGATCTTCCTTCGTCTTGAATCGTTCCTGGAATAGGTCCTTCAGTCTCCTCCAAGGCACTTCTCTCTTTCCACGTATGGTGGAGCTATGCCGCTGTCGCCCTAATGCTTCATAGGTTTTGCAAAGTATGCCTGCCACATGAGAGCGCTGTGGAGGAGGGTGAGATCGTGGTTCACAATGAGGCCACGCCGCTCTAGCGCGTCCATACGCACACGTAACAAGATCAGCGTAGGGCCTCGTTGCGTGTTGTGCGATGACCAAGCATGAGCCTTGTTACGTGCTACGCGGTAACCAGCATAGGGCCTTGTTACGTCCATGCGCACACGAAACAAGGCTAGCCACCGCGTCGCCGGTAATAGGGAGGGAGGGGTGGGGGCAGAGAGGCTCCGCTCGCTGGGCCGTGTCCTCGGCAGGGCGCCGCGGGGGGAGGGGGACTCGCCGATCGGCGCCGCGCCGCAGTGGGCCGCGTCCTCGGCCCCCGATCTGACGCCCGATGGCCCTGGCCGCACACGGGTCGACGGCCTGGCGGCCTGGAACTCCCAGCAGCGCCCGCGGCGCCGCCTGAGTCATGCCGCACGCGACTCAGGGCGCTTCTCTGAACGGCGCGCGCGGCGGCGGCCTTCCGCGAGCTCCGGTGCGACGCTGGCCGGGGTGACGGCAGCACATTGCGGCGGTATGGCAGGTCATTGCCCCTCTTCCCCCCCCCCTCCCCCGCTATCCCGGGATTGTCAAGGTGGCAGCCCGGCGGCGCCACGCTCTTGGAAAAACACCGACGGCCGGGTATTGTTAGCAGTGCTCACGCGGCGTGGACAGGACGCCTTCGCTTTGGTTTGTGCCGTGTGTCCGCATACGAGACCATTGTCTGGATGGATGCGCGGAATGCTGTCAAGTGTTCTTATGCCAGTTATAGCGCAGCCTTTTAGGTGCGAATTACGATGTTATCTAGCCTATCTTTCCTCCTCCCTCTCCTCCACTCCCCCCCCCCCCCTCTCTCTCTCTCCCCTCCCTCGTTTTCTCTTTTCACCACCTCTGTATCCCGCCCTCTCTCACTCCTGATACATCTCGCCGTCTCCCACCCTGCGAAGCCTCCTCCGAACCTATCACTTCATCTCCCTCTCTCTTTCTCACCCCTCTCAGTCCCCCAGGCTGCACGTGTCCGCCTGACCTCCGTCTCCGTTGACAGCGCTCCCGTGAGCCAAGGCGACCTCGGGCGGGCCGGCAGGGCGCGGCGCCGTCGGCGGCGGGCCGCGGGCACCCACCATGGAAGTGACGCCGTTCACGCACCTGGAGCCGCTGGCCTCGCTGGCCGAGCCCGAGGACCTGTCGGGCACCGAGAGCGCCGCCGAGCCGCTGCAGCCCGACACCAACCACGTGGGCACGACCAAAGCGTCGGCGGCGGCGGCGGACGAGGAGGCCGGCGCCGAGGCCGAGGAGCGCCTGCTCTTCGGCTGGGGCCGCTGCACGCCGCCGGCGCTGCAGCGGCTCGTCAGCCAGCGCACCTTCCTGGTCGTGTTCGTGGTGACGTGCGTGCTGCAGGGCATGTACTACACGTACGTGGTAAGCGTCATCACCACCATCGAGAAGCTGTTCCAGTTCCAGTCGAAGACGACCGGCATCGTGTTCAGCGCCACCGAGATCGGTCAGATCAGCGGTGCGCTGCTGCTCACCTACTACGGCGGCCAGGGACACCGGCCGCGCTGGATCGGCTGCGGCATCACCCTCTTCGCCTTCTGCACGTTCATGTGCTCGCTGCCGCACTTCATGTACAGCGAGCGGCTGTCGACGCTCGACCTCATCCAGGTGGACGTGGGCGACGAGGAGCGGCGCACGCTCTGCCGACAGCTGCCGGTCGTCGCGGCCGGCAACGTGTCTGAGCGCGTGCTGTTCCCGGGCGAGCTGAACGGCACGGTGTGGCGCGTAACGGACGCCGGCGCCGTCGAGACGGAGCCGCCCAGCGAGGGGATGCGCTGCGAGGACGACGTCCAGCTGACCACCCACGCCGAGATCAGGCCAGTGGTGCTGGCCATCTTCTTCGTCTGCCTGATCGGCGTCGGCGTCGGCCAGACGATGGCCTTCAACTTGGGCATCCCCTACATGGACGACAACGTCAGCAGCAAGGAGTCACCCATGTACTTCGGTGAGTGGCGGTCCGGCCGGCGGGACCGGTCCCGTTCGAGCTGACGAGTAGGCTGTCCGAAGCGCTGTCACGTGGGTCTTCTCGTCACGTGGGTCTCGTCGTCACGTGAATCTCGTCGTCACGTGGATCTCGTCGTCACGTGGGTCTTGTCGTCACGTGGGTTTCGTCGGCACGTGGGTTTCGTCGTGACGTGGGTCCTGTGGGCCTTGTCGTCACGTGGGTTCTATCATCACGTGGGTTTTGTCGTCATGTGGATCTTGTCGCCACGCGGGTCTTGTAGGTACGTGGGTCCTGTCGGCACGCCGTGACGGTTTGTGTTATGGCCGCTGTGAGTGCCGGGCGGATGTCTGATGGTAGTCACGCCGCGAGCCGGCGTTGTCTGCGATCTTCATCTTGGAAATGCGGATGCTCATGTGCCCCGTTTTATCCTTTATCTATGGTCGGTTTGCTTCACTGCCTCAAAATAACCGCATACCGGCCTCAGACCGCGCCGTCGTGCTCAGTGCGAAAGAAACATGACCAAAAAGCACGACGCTCCTCGAAATAAGCCATCTTCTGCTGGTGACACGTGTTGGCAGTGTTTGACATCGTGCAAGGCGATCCCTAGCAAGGCGACTTTTCACGATGGCGTCGACGTCGTCTCCTGGCATTTTGCCACCGAACCACAATGCTCGTGCCCCTGACCGCAAAAGATCGTCACGAAACTTCGTGGTCTCCGTGCATCGCCACGGAACCACGCAAGGTCATCACGAAAGCAGCCACCACGACAACGGCGAGAGGTAGCCACCTGAGCACCTCAACACAAAACCTCGCCACATGAAACCCTACGAAATGTCGTCCCCAATGAGCTGCAGTTGGATCACGAACGGTGTGACGTGGCGGACTGTTATGTGGTACAGGGTACTGGGCCCTAGTGAAGAGCACCCGAGAATGCCCTGATGTAGCGTTTGTGAGGTTCGAGACTAGGGCGGTGTCGGCACTCATGGTCAGTTGGTGGACTGCTGGTGGGGCACTCTTGGCGACCGGAGTGCCGGAGCGCATTGAGCTCTAGCCAGCCTGCTCGTCTGCCCGAGTGGACCGCGCATCGTGAGCCTGCGTGCCGTGCCGAAGCGTGCCGCGGGCTGGAACGCCTCTCAATCCGAGCGAGTTTCCGCGCTGACCAGGAACAAGCCCTGGGCTTAAGCTCTTATAGAGGCGCTTGACTGAGCTGCTAAGCAAAGCGACCGGTCGAGAGTGAGTCACTGGCATAGCCGGGAGTTGTGGGACCAAGAGGAACCACGTGACCAACACCGACGAGGTGCGCGAGATCGAGGGAGCTCAGAACTAGGAAATGTATCGGTCCCATCACAAAAAGAGAATGTATTCTAAGAACAGAGACGTTCCCGCAGGTCACGCACTTAAGTACGCACCGTGTGGTGAAACGTTGCGTTTCGGAAGAACTGATCCGCGCGAGTGTTAATAACACAGTTGTGAACAATGAGATCTTGCCCGACGGGTTCTGGCCTGTCGCGACTTTTTGATCTAGGGTAATGGGGAAGAGTTCTTCATCTTTCTCAAGAAGTTCTCAAAACATTCATCCCTCACAGACTAAAAGACCCAGGGCTGCATCTCGTGCTGCCCTGGTCCAAAGTGACCTCCCTTTCGCCGTGAGGGAGACCGGCTGGCGCTGCGGACTTCCCCGGCGGCGGCGGTGGCGCCATCTGTCGCGGCGCCCGTCGCCGGCGTCGGCTCGGCGCCCGGCGCTCGCCCTCGCGCGCGTGACGCACCCTGCCCCTCGCGGTCCCACCGGCCCTGCGTGTTCTCTACCCGCGGTGTGGAGAGCACGTGCCCAAGCGACTCGCTTCCAAATCTTGGGGCCCAGCTCCGCCGTCGGGACGCACCCTGGGCGACACGTGCAATGCAGTCTCTCGCGCGACACTCGCACTGCCCGGCGGACAGGAGCGGAGCACGAGCGCGGCCGAGGCGTTCGCATCAAGCTTGGGTGCAAACGTTGCGGAACATGTGCCGGAACGTTCATCGAACTCTTCAGTGCAGTTCGTGATGGAATGTGCACAGCTACTTACAAGAATGTGCAGCCTGTGCGTTTTGCAGGTGTTGCCTAGCCCCGCAACTGTGTCCTTTAACTAAACGTGTCCACTGCCAGGTAGTGGGCCGGTCCCCTCCCCAGCGTACCGTGCTTCCTCACGTTGGGTGTCTCCCCAGCTTCCCGCCGTAGGAGCGGGAGAGCTGAGGAACTATGGCCTCGTCACTTTTCGTGGACGTTTGACATTAATCATATGGTAACGCGTTGAAAAATCTAAGATTCCACTGACAACGGCACGTGCCTCTTTTTCGAACGTCCATATAGCCGTGCGTGTCGTCACTTCTCCGTCCGAGGGCCCGGCTGCGGCTGCGCTTCCAGTATTTGTACAGGGCATCGACTGCCGCTGACTGGCGGGTGACCATATAAGGCATCACACATTTCAGATGGACGCACCTTGTATGCGCCGTGACACGCGCGCTCGACCGCACTGGCTGTGGCTGTCTCTCACGAAAGCCTCGGCTGGCGCGCCTGACCTTGACCTTGACTCTCGGCAGCGTTCATCATCGGCATGCGCATCTTCGGGCCGGTGTTCGGGTTCGTGCTGGGCTCGCTGTGCACGTCCATCTACGTGTACCCGACGCAGCAGCCTAACATCACCACGCGCGACCCGCGCTGGGTCGGCGCCTGGTGGCTCGGTGAGTGCCGTTCGGGCGCGCGCGCTGGCCGACCCGATCCTAGTGGCTCAGTGAGTACCGTTCGGGTGCGCGCGCTGGCCGACCAGGTCCGGCTGGCCAACTCTATATGTAAGGAGCGCTGGCCCGGGAGGTTCGGACCCCGTGCGTGGCGTCGCCGCCTGCCAAGGCGGAGGCTCCGCGTCATTTTAAGTGGTCGTCTGATGCGGCGCCAGAGTGAAACGTCCCCGATTGGCCGCCGGCGCGACGGCAGCACGAGGACACAGCAACGTTGGGCTGGCTAGTGGGGCTCAGTCGCCCAACTGTTGGAGAGTTTGTACTCGTGAACGTTCCTCCAAAATTGCTGATGTCGTTGCGCGGAAAATAATACCAAATTATCCTTGAGCCTACTCAGCTCCCCACGTAAAGATTTCTTGGAAAAGTTCGGGTGGTCGAGCTGCCAAAATGGGCGTCTTTTAATGGCGAACTGTGAGAATTGGGTCGATTTCAATCGAAGTTGGCGAGGCGCTGCTACACCTGCCATTCCGTGTTCTCCATCCATGCTCAGTCCCGACCTGGTTTGCAAACCATTTCGTATACGTACCGTTACTTGAGCTGCTCGGGAAGTGCGTCATGCCACTTCCGAACATCTCACACGTAACCATGCATCGCAACACTCCTGCGGTGCACGGGGCACGTGCCGTTCAGATACTACTCGGTCACGTGCGAGGCATAACGTGGCGGGCCGCGAAGGCCGTATTGGTTTTTTTCCGGCCGTCACACGCGCGATAAAAAGACACCGCGATTCACATAAAGATCATTGTGGTAGGCCACCTTGCAACCGTCATGTCTTGTAAGTCCGTCATTTGGACAGCTAGTCTGCAGCGCTGTTATTCACGTTTGTCTCCACGTATGACCTACCTTATTTCACACTTACAGCATACCACATTTTCATTACGACGCTCATTTCACATTTCACGCTCGCTGTCGCCGGTGTCGTGCGGCGAGACTCGCACGAGACCGAAGCGCCAGGTCTCGCTGGTGTATCACCGTCCCATCCCAGCACTTACTCTTACATCTGCACTTCTTTTCGCGCGCGTTAACTGGACGTGATCTCCCTGTAATAGCTCGTGCGCACACTTCCGTTGCCATGTCATGCGAGTCTGTCCGCCTGCCTCGCTGTTTGTCCATTCACGGGACCCTGGATCATTACTCGACCCGTATAACTATGGCTTAGGTGACGGGACTGCAGACGCTCGACGCTATCAGCCGTACCCAAGCGGTGAGCAAAGGCAAGGGTGTTGGATATCGTTCCCCGGTACTAATTCGGACTCAGGAGGTTGCGTGTCGCATTTTATTCCCGTTATTCATCATCGGTCTCCCGCAAAAAAGGGACTACAGTGTAAGTCATGGTCGTAGGGCGTCTGCTCGGAAACGTGCCCATTGCTATTTACTCCCATGCCCAATTTACGGAGGTTCGAACCCGTCTCAAAACATCGATAAGCATGAGAAGCTGGCATTCTTCCAATTAAGTCCCCATTACCCGAGTGCATTTGCGTGTAGCGAGCGCAGACCACCAACTGTAAACACTCAGCGTGGTGCGCGGTATCTCGACCTTTATTCAGCATCTTCGGTACTATTCCACCAAACTCGAGCACGCTATTGCGCATCCATCTCGCGAAGGGCGTCCTTGACCGAACACGGCCACCCGGACGCAACGGAACACCCTGTGTGGTCGGCCGCGCCCGTGCCAGGTCGACGTTCGGTGCCGTATCAGCGCGCAGTCAGCGCTAGCTAGCGGCCGTCGCGCGGGGGCCGGACGGCCGCGGCCCGAACAGGCCCGCGGCGTCCCCTTACGCCGACGGTGGGGGCCACCGAGGCCTGAGAGCGCCCGGGGCCCCGCCGCGGCAGCACGTGGCCAGGAGGGCGTGGTGTCTGGCGGCGGCGCTCCCTCCCCGCCGCCCGGAGGCCGGCTCAGTCACCGCTGCCGGAGCCGGACCCCGAGACGCGAGAGCGGGTCGGACACCGCCGCCCCGCGTTGGCGGCGGCTGCGGTCCCACCGTGGTCATCTGCACGGACATGTTTGTCTGCGGTCTGACCCTGAGACGTGGAGAGCCGGTTCTTTCATTTTATTGCGGTGCACGTGACGGCCGTCTCCATCTTAGAAGCTTGTTCCTTACCTTACAAAACGTCTCAATCTATACTTCGTCTTTACGCTCTGATACCTCAGCTATTTGCGCTGCGGTAGCCAGCGCTGCAGTCGTCGTAAATCGTGTAACGGCTGTCGAAAATTGAGGGCCTGAAAGCGTTGTGTCACTTAATGCGATTCATGTATTGCGCTGAGTAGTTATTGACAGATATCAAGATGCAGGGAGAATTACGGTCCGCCTTTGAAGGGATCCAAAGTGCAAAGTCTGCTCGATTATTGCAGTGCGACATGGACCCTGTCGTTGACCTCCGGCCCGCCATCTGATGTACGTCTGTCCGGCAGGCATGTTCATAATTTCTGGCATGCTGGCACTGAACGCCATCATCATGTTCGGGTTCCCGCGGCGCCTGCCACGGCCCGGCCCGTCGGCCGACCGGCCAGCCAGCCCGGTCAGCCCGGCGCACGCCGCGCCCGCCCGCAACCCCAGCCTCAGAGGTGAGCACAACCGCCCGTAACCCCAGTCTCAGAGATGAGTACACTCACACGTAACTGCAGCCTCAGACATAAGCACAGTCGTCCGTAACCCTAGCCTCAGAGGTGAGCACAACCGCTCGTAACCCCAGTCTCAGAGATGAGTATACTCACTCGTAACCGCAGCCTCAGAGATGAGCACAGTCGTCCGTAACCCTAGCCTCAGAGGTGAGCACACCCGCCCGCAACCCCAGCCTCAGAGGTGATCACACCCGCTCGTAACTCCAGCCTCAGAGGTGAGCACACCCGCCCGCAACCCCAGCCGACTGGCAATCAACCCATGAGGGTAGAGGAGCATATAGGTCTAGTTAAGGGGAAGGAATGTATGTCTGTATGTTCTGATGGATTTGAAATGCGCTCGCAGGGGGCATGCAAGGATCAAACAATTATGTTGTGATGTTAGATCTCAATCAAGCTGTGGCATATTAGAGTGCTTTAAATCAGGTCATGCCCAAATCAGGTTATGTCTCGATGAAGCACCGATGTCAGTCTATTCCGCTCCTGACTTTTATGCACAACAAAGGGCTCAAGATCATACATCCTGAAGCCCCTGTCAGATACTCTCGCATCGAGACTCAGGCAGATCATGTCATCTCACGGCTGCTACGACAGCTCTTATGCCCTATCACAAGCATGAGGCCTCTGTCGTCCCCCGTCGGCGGCGGCAGCGTCGCCCGGCTCTGTCGTTCTCCCGTGACGGATGTGTGGGCCCGGCAGAGTTCCCGAGAGCCGTCAAGCACCTGCTACAGAACGACGTGCTCATGTTCCGCACGGCCTCCAACGTGCTGCACGTGCTGCCCATCGCCGGCCTCTACACCTTCCTGCCCAAGTATTTGGAGACGCAGTTCCGGCTGACGGCCAACGCTGCCAACATCATGGCAGGTGGGCGGAAATGTTCCCGAGTCTGGACGGAGGCCTCGACCTCCGGACAGAGACGGCGCCCCAGGCATCCGAGTCTTGGCCGGGCACCTCCGACTGCTCGAGTACAGCAACCGCCGAGTGGGAGGGGCACTTGAGAAGGAGGCTGGGCGCTTGCCGACCTGGGAAATTGGGGCAAGGGAGGGAAGAGGGGGAGGGGAGTGCAGGGAGTGTGTGGGCCTTTACTCGTGTGTGTGTGTTTAGATGTGAGTAAGATGCGCATGCTCTCGCAAGGTCTGCAGCACATGGCTAGGAGCGTCGTACGCCGCTGCGAGAATAGGTCGCTTCCGACGTTTAACCGTCAGCAACGCCCGTGTCTTTGCTGTGTGGATCGCTGGCTGGCTGCCTGTTGAAGGAAGGCTTGAAATAGCTCCGTCATGTAATCTACGCTCCCATCACCCAGCCCCCGGAAGCTCTGACGCTAATGACATGACACGTTGCATACGTTGGATGTAACTCAAGTCACACGTGTGAGGCGCGTGTGAGGCACGTGCTCGAGCCGGCCGCGTCTTCCTCCCCGCCGCGGTCCCGGTCTGCGCGACAGGAGAGGTGACTGGCGATGGTCGCGTGTATGTTGGAGCTGGCGTTCGCTCCCGACAGCCCAGCACAAGCGTGCGTGGTGCGCTGGTGGGCCTGCGCTGTCCACCACACCTCCCGCCTGACCTTGCCGTTCGGCGGCGCAGGCCTGGGCGGCATCCTGGTGATGTTCCTGGGCATCCTGGGCAGCGGCTTCTACATCCGGCGGTACCAGCCGTCGGCGCGCTTCATCACCGGCTGGATCGCCATCTCGGCGCTGCTCTACTCGGCCGGTAAGACTCCGTCACAAGCGTCAGTCACGACTCACCACTCACGACTCACGAGTTCACGGCGAGCTGTCTGTGGCCTGCAACCCACGGACCAGTAATTCGAGTCGTGTGGCGTGGCCGAGCGAGGTGAAAACAGATACGAGATGCGTCAATTACATTCACGTATAGGTGGCGCCTAACCCATGTCAATGGGACAGGAGAAATTTGGATGCCCATTTAAACGAATAAGTTATTAGAATCGGGAAGCCCGTGCGACATTAGGGTCTAACTGGCAGTGGTCACTGATTTAGTGCTATCACGTGAGCTCACGAATCACATTGCTTAAGTTTTGCGAAAAACGCGCATGTCTTGAACGGATATCAGTCACAGTGACGAGATAACGCGGCTGTCTAGTTTGAAGGCCCATGTGTCTGGTGTCAAGCCACACAACGCGTTGCATTCGGTGCCGACTTTTCAGCGGCTGACACTGGCTGCTTTCGGGCCTGTTGCCGACGTACCCAGGGGGTCGCACATTGTTAGGATCGCCTGAGGGTTGGCAGACGATCCGTACGTCTGCACCATGCGGTTGGCTCGGCGCCGGCACCGTCTGCGGCTGCGAGGCGCGACACCAGTCCTCGAAGCGCCCTCAAACGGACGGGTCCACGTTGTACGCATGGGCACGCTCGACTGGGCGCCCGCATCGACCGACCCTGGCGCTGGTGCCATTGTTCCTCCTAATCTACACCTGACTGTGCGGTTTCGCCCCGCGGCGACGCTGGGTCGTCGAGAACGGGCCCGGCCTGGGTCTGTCAGCCTCGTCGTCACAATAGAATGTGTAACGCCGAACGGTAAAGAAATGGGGAAGGTGGTTTTGTTGACAGTTCAGTGTTTTAGAGCAATGGCGTTTGGCCAATGCATGGAAACGCCTCAAATTACAAACAAGATTTTTACCAATTGTCTGCTTGCTGTCATCGAAGCCCTCGTGATGTTGCCGTCCTTGATAACCAAGATAGCATTTATAGGTAGCTCAAAGTATTCTTGTAACATTTGGTACAAAAAAAAAATTTTGAAGTGTGAGACCAATGTGGCATTATCTCTGGTTCCCTTTTCACCTGGCTGAAATCTTACTTGCCACGTGCGTATTATTACATATAAACGCACATACATGCCTGTGTATGCATATAACTTGGATATGGGAGGGTATACTAGGTATCCATTCAAGAGAGATACCTGGGAGTATTCCGGGGCATCCTTCTTGAATATGCCCCGTTACTTCTTTGCTCATTTTTCTACGACTCCAACATGAACTCTTCGTGTTGGTTAAAACAACGCTCATATATATAGCGACTTCTTTGCCGACCAAAACGAATTAGACATTCTGCTGTTCAGACATGATCTTGACAGCGCCGACAAGCCTCAGGTGGCTGAATCTATCCAACAACGCATCTTGCCTACTCAGCGTTTCACCAGCTGAAGAGCAGTTAGCGTCTGCTGGCAGCCGGCGGTTGTGCTCGGCGACTGGACCATCTGGTCACAATGTGGTGCCCGGCGACTGCATCGTCTGGTCACGATGTGATCTGGTTACGATGTGGTGCCCGGCGACTGCGTCATCTGGTCACGATGTGATCTGGTCACAATGTGGTGCCCGGTGACTGCATCATTTGGTCACCATGTGGTGCCTGGCTGACAGGCAGCCGGGTCTGCCATTCCCTCTGCGGGCAATCACCTGCTGTCCTCTGTCACCCCACCCCTCCTTAGGATACACGCGGGTATTTTTATTATTTTCATTATTAATGAAGCATGGCGTCATCCGCCAGGAAGTGTGACGGTCACGCCCGGCGGGGCTGCCAGTTCAGAATTTCCTCCCACTTCAAGTTCGAACGGCCCCCTAGCGGCCCCCTAGCAGCCCCCTAGCAGCCCCCTAGCGGCCCCTAGCGGCCCCCTAGCGGCCCCCTCGGCCGGCGACCTCGTCCCAGTCGCAGCGCGCCACCCGCAGATCGCATCTACGAGCGTATCGAGAGATCTGGCGTTCGGTTCCCGTTGCAGGAAACTTTCGCGGATTCCAGCTCGTAGCGGGGCGGGGCGACGCACTGCACTCGTCCATGAATGATCTGAGATAACTGGGTCACGAGTCGGGACTCGTACAATCCAAGGGCAAATATTTCTAAGCACTTTTTGTGACAAATTCGCACGAAACACGCTTTGCAGCCGACGGACAAAGATGATGGGTGGACTGCGTCGGCTTACACTTACCTGACTGCATAATAGCGATCAATGTAGTCTCAAGGCTTACATGTCAGGCTTTTGAACAATGAGTTGCTATTTGTCGTTGTACCCAGAAATTGACTATCTACGGCTTTTAAGGCGGGGCCGGTGACTGCTTTTTCGTGTTTGGTTGAATGCTTATCGACGTTGTTAGTACTTTAATATTTAATTCAGGACAACTTCTCTTCACCTTTTGTTCCTGACTTGCAAAAAGGCATGCATAAAACGCTGCCAGCCTCTCCAGAATGTGAAGCGGGGTATGTTTGATTACCAACGTGAGCATGTCATGTTGGTGAGACCTTGTACCTTGTGTACAATTACGCCAATGATGATTCCAAATACTGGGAATATGCCTACATGATACGTTGGTTTCAGGCATGGCAATCCTGATGTTCGTGGGATGCCACCAGGATGACTTCGTTGGCCTCCAACAGGGGTACGTGTTGCGTGTGTACCGATGGTGCTGCTTTCGCCGCATTTGGCGATAATGTTCTTAATCAATGCGAGCTGCATTCTATTTAACTGTACAGTATGCTGTAAATATGCCTCGTCGTTTTGACGGGCACGTGATCTCCGGGATCGTTCCACATCTCAAGGCTTGGACCACAGGATCGCTGACAGGTGAGCAGGAGCCGGGCAAAAAATTGACAGCGAAGTAGAATGTCAAGCTAAACACGTTCTCTTCTAGTTTCCCTGGCTAGGTCGCGAAAGAAGTACAATATTTTCCCTTCTGCTAAAAGGATTACATTATTTGTGAGATAAAAACACGTCATGATGCCGCAAGTCGAAGCGGACGAGCCAATTTATGCCTCGCTACCGAGTTGGTCTCTTGCTCATTTTATGCGTCATCACCCGGTCGAGGCCTCTCGGTGTGACCGGCGCCACCTGGCGGCTCGCCGGCCCCCTCCCCCCTCCCCTGCCGCCCACGCTCAGCTTGCTCTCCACGGCGCCGTTTGGCCATCGCCGCACCGTGAAGACCTGGCAGCGGCCGACTCCCGGGAGAGGGGGGGGGGGGGCTGCACGGGTGTGACCTCTGAGGACCCAGGCCCGCCCAAACTGGCGCGAGGCGGAGAGCCGCTGGGGTGGGGGTGTGGGCCGGTGTGGGGCCAGCTGACAACTTGGCGTACAGGTCATCGATTTCGCCGTGTCATAAGCTTCAGTCGATTGGGCTCACTGCTATCTTAGAAATATTGAAACAGGTCGATATATGCACATGCAATGTGCGCCTTCTGTCTGCACGTGTGTCCTCCCAGCGGCTCCGTCAGCGTCTCCCCCTGTCTACCAACGTTCGGCCAGTGCCGCCATCTGTCTGCTCTTTCGGTCAGCGCCATTCGGTCACGGTTAGTGTTCCCCATCCACCTGTCTGTTTGTCCAGTCAGTCCCCCTCCCCGCCGTCTGCTGCCACCCGGCCAGTGTCGCCCCGCTTGTCCGTCTGTCCAGTCAGTGCCGCGTCCCCCCACCTGGGACCGTCTGGGGTACGGCGCTGACCCCCAGCCGGCCGCCGGCAGGTACGGCGCGGCCATGGTCAACACTACGTGCTCGTCCCACTGCGCCTGCCCGTCGGACGAGTACGCGCCAGTGTGTGGCGCTGACGGCTTCACCTACCTGTCGCCGTGTCTGGCCGGCTGCACGGAGACGGCGGCCGGGCCTGGCGCCCAGCAAACGGTGCGCGCTGGCCCCCCGCTCCGGAGGGAGCTGGCGGCTGGCGGCGGGCGGTCTTGTTGCTGCCTGAAATCAGGGCAACCGTAGTTACTGGATGGACAAGGCTCACGGGCATGATTTGGCTAGCATGAGTAAACACTGAAGTGTTTTATCCGATGCATTTATATGCTTGATATAGCAAGAAGAAAACGTCAGTTTGCCTGTTCTTCGTGATCGGATATTTTCATACCATTCGGCACTAGGTGGTGCGGTTGTTTGCCGGTTTTGCCACTGTAGCTTTTGTCTGACACGACGCTCCTGGGTGTTACAGTATCAGAACTGTAGCTGCGTAGACGAGGTCAACACGGGGGCCACCATTGGCTACTGCCCCCTCGACTGTGATAACTTCTTCTGGTACGTATGACCTGGTTTGGCGGATTATCCGCCGAGGTGTCGCTGGGGTTCTAAGTTGATATGATCAACCTTCAGCATTATCTGCTGAAGTGGTGCTGACATTCTTGGCTGATATGATCGGCTTCTAGCACACGCAGCCGGAACCCTTGCCCCGGAAGGACATTTTTCTATGCTAACCCAGTTCAGTTACACCACAGCTCTGGGTAATGCGCACCAGCTTACCACGCCCAACGCTCACCCAAGACACATGTGGGGAGAATGCGTTCGGCATTTAGTGCCGTTCACTCAGTAGAGGGCGCCACGATGCCGCACCACGGCTGTGGGTGCCGGCCTTCTGGTCACGCTGCCGTCCAAGTTCGTGTCACTGACGCCGGCCGTCTGTTTGTGCCGCCGTCCAATCTCGTGTCACTGAAGCCGGCCGTCCGGTCGTGCTGTCGTCGAAGCTCATGCCACTGACGCCGGCCGTCTGGTCGTGCTGCCGACCAAGCTGGTGTCACTGGCGCCGGCTGTCTGTTTGTGCCGCCTTCCAAGCTCATGCCACTGACACCCGCCGTCTGGTCGTGCCGCCGTCCAAGTTCGTGTCACTGACGCCGGCCGTCTGGTTGCGTTGTCGTCCAGGCTCGTGTCACTGACACCGGCCGTCTGGTCGCGTTGTCGTTCAAGTTCGTGTCACTGACGCCGGCCGTCTGGTCGCGTTGTCGTCCAGGCTCGTGTCACTGACACCGGCCGTCTGGTCGGGCTGCAGTCCAAGTTCGTGTCACTGACGCCCACCGTCTGCTTCCAGGTTCATCCCGATCTTTTGTGTGTTCGTGCTGATTCACTCGACGTCGGAGGTGGGCGCCATCCTCGTGACGCTGCGCTGCGTCGACCCGCACGAGAAGGCCCTGGCGCTCGGGTTCATAGCCGTCGCCATCGGCCTGTTCGGTGAGTGCAGAGGGGTTGGGGTTGGGGGATGGATGGGGGGAGGTGCTGCTGCTGGTGTCTCGTCGATAATAAAAGTCCCGCGCCCCCGGACACGTGACTTAGGTGTTATACTTGCCTCGGCGCGTGCACTCGGTGAACGTAGGGTGGTGGCCATCCGACGGAAATCAGTAAACAAAATGGAAGCAGGGCTCCCACGCCAATGGAGGAAATATGTAAGCTCAACATGAGTGATTTATGGACATTCTGTGAAGAAACCGGTCTTTCAGGAGTTAGTCATCACTCTGGTATTCACTTCAGATCACAGTCACCAAATGTATGGGGTTCGCACGCATTACACATTTTTCTAACGTGAAGGACAGGTATTGGCGATATGTTACTACCGGCTTACCTTACACATAATAGCGTGTCACGAAGTACGCTTATTTTGCGGCTGTGATCTAAAAATCAACCGTTCTGAAAAGAAAATTATGAAGTATTTGAAAACTGTCCCAACCAACAGCCTCATGCCATGACGTTTTAACGTAATGAACAACGCTTGGTGATCGCCCTGGCCTCCTGCAACTGATATCATTTCAATCGGTTGCAATAAATTACTGCTACAATTTTTTTCATTCCGATTTTACTTGGTAAATGCAGATGAATGATTGTAATGAAATTATTAAGAGTAATTGCACTTGGTTGATACCAATTTTCGCTTGTATTCATCCCATGATCAGTGATGCTCTATCAATGTTTGCACTCACTGAGATCATTAGCGTTACCGTAATCGAGGGCTAACGATAGCGCTCTCTGACGGCATGGGACGCTGTACAGGGTGGATCGGGCTTGTCATCACGTATTGCAGATATGACGTGTGTGGATAGCGTGATGTCTCGCTGTACCGTCACGCAGAGGCTGTCCTCCGCGCTTCGGCGCGTCCCCAGCGCCGTTCCCGACGTGCGCAGTGCAATGTGCACCAGTGCGGCGTGCGCGCGCGACGCGGCGTGAGCGCACCGTGCCGTGAGTGGGACGCCGCGTCTGTCGGTGTTGCAGGTAACGTGCCGTGTCCCATCATTTACGGCGCCGTGGTGGACTCAGCCTGCCTGCTCTGGCAGACCAACTGCGACCAGCAGGGCGCCTGTCGGCTCTACGACACCGAACGGTTCCGTCTGCTGTTTTTCGGTGCGTGCGTCTCACTGACGGCGGGGTGGACACGCACATTCGCGCGCAGCGCGGTCTAACACGCACGCGCTCAGCACGCACGCAGCTGGCGCACGCATTCGCACACGCCGCGACTGCTGACGAATGCTTGTGGTCAGGTATGTATGCAAACATGAACATGTTCTGTTGACATCCGCATTGCTCACCACCACATAAACATCCGGAACCGCGCGTGCGTGTAAGTTGTTACGCTGTGGGCATTTGTTCACTCGGGCCGGCCTAATTCCTTCGCCCGATGTTGTGACGTCACTGCCGACATACCGCACGGCTGGTCGTTATCGTGTTAGGCCAGGGATGGGTGCTTGCATGCACGCTTTCACTTGCATAGCCTAACTGCATCACGGGATTTTGACGAGTTGTACACAGGTGCCACAACAGAGCACATTCACTCTGCTGGTTTCCCATGCACGCGGCAGAAATGATCTGTGTTGCGCCTTGTTCTGTATGCCGGATGCAAGAGAGCACCCGCGATTCAAGCGATTTGTGCTTTGCTGCCTTGCTTTTTCGTTTAAATATAGTGATACCTTTCAGGGAAACCTGATATAGTGGTTCTGTAAGTTAACGCAAAGACGAAAAGTATTCATGTGAAAAGCGCTGACATACTGTGCTTCCTTTTGTTGTGATGTTCGTAAAATGATGTACCTCTATGGAATGCAAGTGCGACAAAGTGTTGCACTGAATTTTGCCCCGAAATTATGGAGCTACATAAACAGGTACCATATTTGTATTTAAATTCCTATGTTTCGTCACATGAGCGCAAATAGCCAGACCACCTATTTTCATGCTCGAGAACGTCTTGAACCTTGTTATGTTCTCCTTGCCTTCACTATTGTCGCACCTGTTGATTCTTGACAGACGCATGTATTACTGGCGAGCCCATACGGCGACCACCAGCCCATACGGCGACCGGAGTAACGCGCTGGCGACTCATTCGTGTATCAGGCTGTTGCAATACTTTTGTTGACATTCATTGTCCGCACGTTTATGTTAAGCCATCGACTCATCCAGAGCGTCACGTTAGTATAGCACATAAAGGTCATTCCTGAATATTTCTTGACGCCCTGCGCCTCAATAACACTGGATTTCTAGCATTATGCCCCCGGCGACGCGTGACAAGAATGTCATAAAAAGTCCGAAATTGGCGTTTGGGAACCATTTCCGGGAAGCGTTCGCTGTTGCGCACTCGCCTAGTGAGGGGTTCAAGTAAGCTTCAAGAAACAACCATGTCCTTTGTCGACCCCTAACGGCGTTGGCATGTAGCCGATAACCTAGGCAATGGCCTGCGCGGCCAGTCTCCTAGGAAGCGGTTTGGTCCCTCCCTGCTAACCACCCACCCTGTCCCCGCAGGCATCACTTCAGCGGTTATGTTCGCGGCATTTTTGGTCGACTGCGTCGTCTGGTACAAGGCCGGCAAAATCAACGCGTCGTCGCCGGCCGACCTGCACCAGAAGTCGCCGGCCCACACCCGCTCCCCGGGCGAGGTCGCGGGCCAACCCGAGGCCGTGCCCCTCAAGCACGGCCCCTGACGGGGTGTCAGAGACCGTACGCCACGGGTCGCCGAGACCTGCCGACAGCGGGTCCCCGCGCGGAAGTGGTCACCGGCAGGACAGCGTCGCCTGAACGGGGCAGCTGTGTCAGAGACTGCACCCCGGCGCCACGGCAGGGCGGGCGGGGCTGCGCCCGCTGCATCTGATGGCGGGCCGGGTACACGGTCCGCCGCGGCTGTGCCGGAGGCTGTACCCGTCGCCGAAGTCGCGTACGTAGCCGTACCGCCCCGCTGCGGTTAGTCCGTCTTACGCGCGGCCGTCTTGACTCACCGATAGACCAACGTATGCACCAGACGCGCCGTGAGGCCGTGTGAACCCGTACCTGGCCGTGCGACACGTGAAACTCCGGAGCTGGCGGCGTGCGTAGTTCCGGGAAAGCCGGCGAGCGGCAGTGGCCGCGCGCGGACGGGTTGTCCACGTTGGAGTCCCGGCTCCACCGGGGCGGGGCCCCACCGGTCCCCCGCGGGCCCAGAGGCTGGGTCCGGGAGTGTTCAGATCAGTGACTCGGGCCAGTCCGGTCTCTGTTCAGACCAGTGACTCGAGCCAGTCCGGTCTCTGTTCGGGCTAGCGACTCGTGCCAGTCTGGTCTGTTCGGGCCAGTGACTCGTGCCAGTCCGGTCTGTTCGGGCCAGCGACTCAGGCCAGTCCGATCTGTGTCTAGGCTAGTGACTCTGGTCCGTCCGGACTGCGCCCAAGCTAGTGACTCGAGTCAGCCAGGTCCACTTTCCATGTCTGTGACGTGGCTCAGTCCGGTCCGCGCCCAAGCCAGTGACACGTGTCAGTCCGGTTTGTGCCCCAAACCGTTTGTGGGTTGTGGGCGGCTCGAAGCCGGTCATGATGTACGTCCTCAGGGGAGAAACGTCGGGCAGTGGTGCGGAGTGCCTGGTCATGTTCCCTGGACCGACCTGACCTGACCCGGTATGAGTGGCTCTGTCCACCGCCTCGACCCCGGCTCAAGGGTCGACAGAGCGATTTTGATATATCCATTGCAGCCGGTACGCGCTGCGCGTGCATTTACCATCTGTGTCATTGTATACTTGAAACGCCGAAAGCGTCAAATTTCGTGTGCGCGTTGGCTTCCATGGTTCGGCTCACCAGTGTATCGTTGTCATGTGCGCACGCCGTCGCGGTATTTGTTGTATTATCGGTCTCTTTTATGATCTGTTTACCTGCTAAGCTGCGACTGTTTAACGTTGTTTAGATGTTTTAATTCTTCGTCGTCTACCGTACCCGTCTTGTTCGATTCGGAAACGTTATAGGAACTCGGCTACATTACTTTAAATGTCTCGCGGCTTCCGATAGTTTGAGTGGGGTTGATCGAGAGGTCGTTGCCCCCTCCACCCTTGGTCGAGAGGTCGTTGCCCCCTCCGCCCCGCAACTGTGCCGTCCAACTTTAGCCTAGACCGCGGTCTTACTTCGCAACCTTACCAGTTGCTTTGTCTTTTGTGAGTTTGCAATATTGCGATCGTCCGCTCTAATATCCAATGCCAGATTTGTTGTATGTGGTGTCCAAATACGAATCATGTACCCCGTGCCAGAGGTGTTCCTTCCAATAACATGCTTACTGGGCCGGCACGGTCGGCACGAAGATGACCGGTTCCCACCAAAAAAATGAACCGACAAAAGACGAATCGAAAAAGTTCAACGCAGATAATCGAAACGGAAAAAATCGAATAACAAAAAGCCGGAAAGGGACAAGAAGTCGCAAAAAATGAAGCAAAAAAGAAAAATAAAGAGGTAGAGAGAAAGATAAAAGCACAATTGGAAAGAGTTTAATGGCAAAATGTCGAAATGGATGAAGTTCAAATCTGAAAAGTCGTGGGATCAAAAGTCAAATGAAATTAGAGTCAAGTGAGAATAAAAGCCGAGTCGAAGAAAGTCGCGAGGCAAAAGATCCGAAGGAAGAGACGCCGATAAGGAAAAGCTAGATCAGAAAACATTTCGAAGGAGGGAAAGTCGACATGCATACATTGGGATGGAATCTATTCCATTTTGCGTAAATTGATATGTTTACATCCATGGGGATATTTACATGGATCGGGATATTTACGTGCATTGACATGTTTGCGTACATTGGGATACATTTGAATTGGGATGCAAGTACACGAATAGGTAGCCAAAGAATTTAAGGGCAGGAGAGTCACCAGGGCCTGACACCTGGTATGGAAGCAAATGTCAATGTTGCACTAGAACGCGGCGTGGACTCGGTTGGGCTCCGTCGCCTCGCATCCCAGGGCCCTCGAAGCCAGGCCCACCCGCGTGCACCCGGTAAACGCCCGCGGCGGCAGCCAGCCTTCGCGCCCTCACGACCGAGCCGAGCGCAAGGCGCCTTGAGACTATCAGACGGCCGATCAGCCGTGGGCACCCTGCCAGCTGCTATCTATCAACGCTCCTGAACGTTGTCTCCCCAGCTATTAGCTGGGGCGGTCGTGAGCAACGGAGGCGGCCACGGCACGGGGCGGCGCCGGTCGCAAACCCCGTGTGTTTGTTAGTTCTGGTCCTCGATAGACACGTACCTGGCTGACAATGGTGGTTCCTGGTTCGCACTTCTCCCTGCCGAAAACGGGTTCTTGGAGCCCGGGTGCTCCTACCACAAGCACCACCCGCTGGTTTCTGGATTCTGGACCTGGGCCTGAATTTTGTTGTTCTGCTATCAGTGCATCCTGATTTCCGATCCGCACTGTTTTTCGCGGTTAAAGATATCGGTTCCTGGTTCCAACTGTTTTATTCACAAACGACAGAAACTACTTCCTGATATTTATATATTTCCCACGAACACAAGACCCTGATTTTAATTAGGCTTTCACAGGCACCAGAACTTGGTTCTCACGGGCTTGGCGCAAACACTAGACGCAGGTTTCTGGTACCCAATGTTTTGCTCAGGAACCGCCAGATGGTACTTCCTAACTTTCATTGGCCTATTCGTGGACACTAGCCCAGGTTACCATTTGACAGTTATTGAAGAAAAATTGTTCAAAGTAAAAGATATATTGCATAATCACCCATCATATTCTCGAATGCAAAGTGCATTACACCAGTAAACCGTGAATATGCCCGATACCCACTGGCTTCTGACGATAATTTCATGTAAGATTTTGTTCTCGCTGGTTTCCTTCATCTCCCTTTATCCTCATGGGTTTTTGCTTATTTTTGTGACATATTTCAGGTTAAACCTTTTTTCTTGATGTCTCGGCTGAATTCCACCCTGGTTCTTGGTTCCTGCTGGATGCCTTGGCTTTATGTCAAGCTGGATCTTGGGCTTTGGTTGCTTTTTCAGCACAGTTCGGTGTTGAATCCTGGGTCTTGATGCATCTTACTTCGTTTGATTTCAAACTTGTTCCTGGACACTTCCTGGTCCCAGAACAAGGGACTGGTTCCCGAGAAGAGATATTAGGAATCAGGCACATGTCTGGTCGCGAGGAGAAATGTGACTATTAAGCTATGTCAGTAATTACCTGGATGCTTAACGGCATACATATGTTTCTTCTGTACTTTTATCTGTTTTCTCACGCATGCAATAGATTTCGTTTATAATATATGAGCTATAGACCGGTAAGTTTGACAATTTTCAGAACATGTTACTTGAAACGCTGTTCGGTTTTTAACCGTGCAATTATCCGACTGCCTTTGCAGCGGGGTTCGTCCACAGGTAATACCAAAATGTTGACGTGCCCTCGTCGACATTTAGTTTTAGTTTCGATCTCCTCCCCGTCCACTTTCATCTCTACCTGTTTTTTACCCTTGACTTTCCCGAGTGTGAGTGAGAGTGATTTTTCAGCACAACATTCCAGGATTCCTGTGGAGTTTTATCCTTCTGGACTTCCCGCCTCCCCTCTTTCCGTTTTGACCTTTATGCTTGCCGAACTTTATCTGTTTCGGCTTTTTGTCTTTCGACTTTTCTCTGATACGTCTTCCATCCCTGTCGACTCCTTTCTTTGTCGGCTGTCTGCCGCTCTACTTTTTAGTTCGACTTTTTCCATTCGACCTTTTCCATTCGGCTTTTTGTCCGGACACCAAGATGGACAAGTGGATCGCTCCCCATCTGGCAGCGAGTCACCAGCAACGGGCCGCATGCTTTCAGTCCAACAACTTCACCTGCGGTTCAGGCCGCAGCTTTCTCTAGTCATGTTCAAATCACCTCCTGTAGTCATGTTCACATCTTTATCAAACGTTGAGTCACATGTTCAAATCACCTCTTGTAGTCATGTTCACATCTTTATCAAACGTTGTGTCACATGCCGCCACTGAAGCTTGTTGATTAGCATTCGCGGTGCTATTTTTAAGATAGATGACTAACTGACGCCAATTATGCTGCCGAGAACAGCCTACATCGACCCCATGGTCACGGCATGTAAGTAACCGCTTCAAATACGTCCGGAGGTCTTACGCGGTTCCTTTTGACAAGCTGTGTACACTGGTAGGTTACTTTCTTTCGTGAGGTCAATAGCCGAGCATTCTGAACAGTGTCCAATGGAACGAAGTGGTTTACAGTGTATGGGGTTTTAACCTGAAATAACAATTTTGAAGCTCATTCAGCGCAGTTCACAGCCATGCCTTTTTGAGACGTGATGTCTTTTTTTCTGGATTTGACGTCCCTGAACCTGTGTAGACCACCTCGCGCAGATCATTTCAAGTCACCCAGACATGCATGACGTCAAACGTCACGCGAGTGCCGTCATTTCAATGGCCATGAAGTGCTCAAGGCTAGCACAAATATGACCATGGAATTATTCGTGTCTAGTGCACGTCAACACGCCTCGTGGCATCAACGAACATCAGTTGGTCTTCAATCGGCTCAACGCGTGAACGTAAGTTTCGAATATGAATCACGTTTTGGGCTGCGCGAAGCAGGAATTTGGGCGGCGTCACGAGTTATGGCGAGGTTCAGATTGGGATTGAAATAACTTTCAGCGTCACAACCGAGTATGCAAATGCAAGTAGACAATAAAGAAAAACGGCGGAATATATACGAACCGCAGGAGAAAGGCCCAAAAGGCGAGAACACGACAATATTTGGGCTAAAACGCTCACCGCCAAACAACCTACATTTCGGCACGTTGATGTACCGCAAGGAAGTTAGTCCGTCCGCTACAGTGGCAGTTCTGACACGGCCAGTCTGGCAGCGATTCCGACGTCATAAAAACGTTCCATGACGAAATCAAATATGACGCATCGAGAGACTTCTCTACTAAATAGTGAAATGTTGTTGTCTAGACGAGTCTTTTACACTCAAGGGAAACCCACAGACACAAAAAGCTTATTTTATCATATCTGATGCTTCCTTCAATACCTTCAAATGTGGAATATTTCATAAGTTGTTAGGTGAATTTTCGAGGAACCTTATACGTGAACAAAAGACGGTAGTAATAGCCTCATTTCCTGGAGAAAAACCGGGAGTTAGATATAGATGCGTTGATATCTCGGCAACATGTCTTTATGGAAACGAATGGCGTAAGCACAAATGTTCTTTCTGCTATTCGTTTCGATAAAATAATGTTGTCAAAATATTAACGCAGCTGTATCTCCATTCCCCTTGTTGTTCTCCAGGTAATAAGGCTATTACTATTGTCTTTTCTATGTGGAACATTCCCTTCAACTACAGAACTTCTGTTTTTTTAAAATATTTAGTCCGATTCCTTGCACCGAATGGATTTCTTGGACCAGAGCTCACACAAAGCAATGTTTGTAGAGTGAACTCTGATCCATACCATCCGATCTTCAAATTCCAGGTCAACGACATAATTTGGTGACGCGAGCATAAAGGAAATGTTCTACACTAGAAGATATTGAAGCAAGCATCAGATATAAGTTCACATATCACTTTTGGCATGTTTTTAAGTGAAAAAGGTTGCTTTAGATAACACGACTTCTCTGTGCAGTAAATATGCTCCTTCATATGCCATTGTTTGGCTACGTCATCGTACCTTGCACCGTATTTACTAAGGGCCAGTTGACAGCAGCTATATCTGAAAATCGTGCTCACGAACGCCAGATATGGACGACTGGGCAATTATATTTTTCTTGGCCGTGATCGCCGCATAGTCAACGGGATGACAGGATTTGAATGACGTTATCATGGTGTCATGGATGCCTGGGCGACTTTGAAATAGCCTCCCCGAAAAAGCCTGCACATCTTCGCGGGCATGTAGCTCAGAAACTAGAAGGGTGAAGGCCTTAACAAGAGCGGAGCTGTGAACTGCACCGAATGATCTCATGATGGCTGTTTCAGTTCAAACCCTATGCAAATGCAGAGCACTCCATTTTAAGCCCTGCAATGTTCAGTGCGCTCCACTCTGCCCTTTGACGTCATCTGACCATTGATGCATCACTGGCCATAGCCATAGCACTTTGCCACAGCACATTGAATATACATAAATTATGCCAGAAGAGAATGCCTGACATTTTACATCCCAGAAATAAATCTTGAAGGGAGCGTTTCACATTTCCATGGGGTTTTGAACCGAGATTGCCATTTTGAAAACCCTTCCGTGCTGTTCACAATCCTGCCCTTCTTAATAGCTGAGCCCTCCAGTT